GCGACTTCTCCGGCTGCGACTTCTCCGGCTGCGACTTCTCCGGCTGCGACTGCGGCTAGGGCTCCTCTGCAGAAACACTATCATGCCCTATCCAACCCTGGTAGAATCCACTTCCTCTCTTGCTCGTCAGCCGCAATGTCTTCTTGGCATCTCTCACTCACCCTTAAGCTGAGTAGGCATCAGACTTGCAACAGCACCAGGAAGAATCAAGGATAAGCCCGCATCCTGTGCATTTCTCATGCCGTAGCGCCCCTATCAGAATGTCCTGTCTGCCGGCTGGAACCTGAACGCTGAGATGCTTGAATGAAGATAAGCGTCTTGCTGCCACAACTCCAACAACATCCAACAACTGCAACATCCCTATCATAATCACTATATGATGCCCCTGCATCATATCCCTAATCACCCAGTAGAATCCCTATATAACCCCCCTAAATGATATCCCCAATCTCATATATAATATACGTGTGAGTTCTGGGAGACCGGCTTGGCTGCCAGCAGACGCTCATGGCTTGCAGTCTGCGGAATCAGCTCCTGGCCAGGTCGTGCAGTCATTTGGGGAGTTCCGATACTCATGAATCCCATTTTGGGGGCCCCTATAATAGGAATTCTAGTGTATTGGGGGTTTATCTTGGGGCCCTATAATAAGAATTCTAATCAGTTGGGTGTTTATACGGGGCCACTATAATTGGAATTCTAGTATAATGGGAGTTTATATTGGGGCCCCCTATTTGTGGAAACCCCCCATTTCTTGCCCTCTCAACATTGAGAGCACAGTATGTCTTTGTAAGGATTGCGTATTTGATCTATCGTCAAACCATGAAGGTTGTCCCTGTTGCTGAACCTCAGTCCATCTGCGTTGACTGCATCTATATACCGCCAGTCTCCATTTGATTTTCCATGTTATTTTCCAGTTGATTCTCCATTATTGGGAAAATATCCCTATAAACCCCTGTATACCCCTTTCAATTCCTTTTAAGGGACCCCGTTTTCCATTTAATTTTCCGTTTTATGTTCCATTTGATTCTCCAGTATTGGTGTAATAGCATCCTGAATCTTCCCTGTTGCAATGCTGAAGCATGTTGTAGGTATGTGGCGGGCATCATCGTGCCCTGCGCAGGATGCAGGAAGCTTCTCACTATTCAGCTGGAAAGGTGTTCTGCCATCTGTTCGGCCCTTCCAGCACCAAGCAATGCAATCCAACTCTACTATAGGAATAATGGAAACTACTATAGTATATTGGGGTTATATAGGGATAATGGAAAAGAAAATGGAAACTACTATAGTATACTATAGTTTTCTAGTAGCCTTCGTTTCTGAGCTGCTCACTGGCACACCACGTCGCACAGCTGGTGCAGCTGCTGGTCGCATGCCTGCGGAGCTCCGGGCGAACCTGCAGGACCAGGCAGCTTGCCGGGATCGCTCATAATCCAACCATCAAAAAGCCATCATTCTAATGGCAATCCCTATTGGGCTTTCCAGCAGCAATCATAAAACAATCATGAGGCGGGGAGAGGAGGAGCAAGAGCAGGAGCAAGCACAAGGCCTCAGTGGCAGCAAGAACGCTAATAACAAAAACAACCTGTACGTAGCAAACCAGCGCGTGTTGAGGTTGCACAGGGCCATTGAACAGGGTATCCTTTGTTTATAGTAGAAACCAACTGACGCCCCAAACAACCAACCCTTCTAAGCCCTCTTGAAAGTCACCTGATAACTCTCCAGGATCGCTCGAAGGTGTGCCCTTCCCGTGATTAGACGTGTCCAAGACAAAAACATAGCACCACCTTCGCCCGGCTGTAACAGCCCCTGGGGTCATTATCCTCATAACGTAACTTTGCCTGATCATCACGCACTTGCCCTGCACGTTTCGGCCATTCAGCTCCTTTCGCAGGGCCATTGCTGAAATTGATGTCTCCAACTCGCCTGTAGACATCACAGCTGTGTTTAGTGACTGGTCAGCTCTTGTCTTGAAGAGAACCCACAGGTGCACATGCTGGGTAACGCTCAGTGAGCGCGCGACATCACAACCTACAACCCCTCAAACTCTCAAGGAGGCACCTATCGAAGTGCTGCGGCCGTCTCAGCATGGCCTGCATAGCCTTCCGCGCATCATCTCGGCGGGCGAACTCCACCAGCGCAATCCGAGTGTCTGGCACCTCGGCTCTCCAAAGGGCATTGCTTGCATGCTAAACAAAACGCTGCAGGTGAACCCCCTTCATGTTCTTGTTCTGCGTGATGTTGCAATTCCGCACCTAGCAGCAAAGCTGGCTGCAGGCATGACGCTTGTGCCATCATGCTACAGGCGGCAGAGCCCTAAGTGTCAGGCTCTTCCATAATGCTCAAACTGAGCCTCAAGTGCCTCGCTGGTGACCCCATCCTCAGCTGGCCCTAACAGTCCGTACTGCCCGGCCAACATCTGCACAGGTTAGAGCAGGCCTTGATCCCCTGGACGCAGAGCGTCGCGTACGGGAATGATGTCGTGGCCATGCTGCAGTTCTCTACATCACGCAGAATTGGCCAAGGCAGCTGGCAGATGAGCATAACAATAAAGCTACAAATCACCAGCTGTCCGCTAGGAGCTATGCCTGGAGTAATTTTTGCTGCAGTCTGGAAAAATGGCCACTCAGCGAGCGCTGAGGTGGAATTGATCAAGCTTAATGTACCGCACTGGCCTGAAACAGCTGCACACTTTTGGCTTCAAAGACTCAAGCAGACTCTGCAACTCTAGCAAAACTTCGCCCACAGAACCCGAACGGCGCAGCTGTCAAAAAAGCCAAAAAACCTGCAAGCTGATACAGACCAAACCTGTGAACCCCAACGTAGCGGCGAAGGCAAAGATATGCGAAAGGGAGACTTCACCTCCCTCCACTATTACTATTATTACTAATATTACTACTATTATTACTATTACTACTATTATTACTATTACTACTATTACTACGATTACTACGATTACTACTATTACTATTATTACTACTATTACTACTATTACTACTATTACTACTATTACTACTATTACTACGATTACTACGATTATTACTACTACTACTATTATTACTTTTACTATTATTACTATTATTACTATTATTACTTTTATTACTACTATTACTACTATT